AGTATATTTTTAAGATCAATCGAGATTGTCTCAAAATATATAAAGCACAAAGACACCATAAAAGTAAATAAAAAAGGTAAAAACACCCTGAATGTAACGTTGGCATTTACCATTATCCATATGCATTGACTGTCAAATCTGTCACAACTTCTAGGACCCAAAGAAAAACAGCAGCCACTGCTTTTCCTTCACCTTTTCTTCCAAGATTTTTCTCCTCACCTGCCACCTGCTCCCTAAACCGCGTTAACCGTTTAATCAGCTTGTCTATTTTATAACACGGGATGTTACACAAGTCAATTTTTCAATGAAAATATCTCGGACAAGTTTCATTCGCCCTCTCTCACTTTCCCTCTCGTCGAAAGTCTCTTCTGCACAATAGTTTTTTGAAACACGGGCCGTCTGTAATGTCCTAAAATACAGTATCGGAAGAGTATAGCAGTGAGTGGTGTATAATTATAAAAATTGATTATTATTAATATGTAATTTAAGTTTAAAGTTTTAGAATCATGTACCTTTTGACTTGAAAAATTATTAAGACAGTAACATAATTTGGCCTAAATTGTTTTCGTTGATATGTAAACAGTTCCTTATTTGTACGCCGCCTATGTTGACCAGAAATAGCGAAAATAGAAAGGTTATATGTTAATTTTTATCTTTTAATATATGATTTTGTATCATTTTTATTTTTATGTTTTTATTTTTTTATTTTTTAATTATGAAAAATATGTTTTTTTATTTTTTTAATTAATTTGTAAATTTTATTTTAATTTATATATTTGTCATTCTTTAATTTAAAAATTAAGGATAAAAAATATACATATATTAAAAGTTGAGAGATTAAAAATGTAAATTTAAATAAATTTAACGGATTAACTGACGAAATAACTAAAAAAAATATTTTTTTCATAGTTAAAAGACAAAGAAAGTAAAAAAAAATTAAAAATAAAAATTACATAAAATTTTAAAATTAAATGATCAAAATTAACATTTAATCAAATAAAAATGAGCCTAAGTTGATTGGAAATAACGAAAAAATTATATAATTATAATATTATATAATGAGTTTTATTAATATCTATTTTAAATAAATTTAATTAGATAAACTAATAAACTATCCTCTAAAGTTCAATAGTCTATCTCCAAATCTAACTATTTGAATTTAGTTATTTAAAAATTCGATTTCTATTAATAATTTGAAACCTCTCTCATTCTCTTGTAATTTTCTTTACGTTCAAAATAAATAAATTTAAATTAAATATTAATTATTAATTTTTTAAATAAAATTTTAAATTTAAATTTTATAAATAAAAAATTAAACACAAAGAAAATTTTAATTTTATAAGATATAACGTGATTTATTTATAAATTAATTAAAATTTAATATAATTATTTAATATAAAAAATTAAAAACACCCTGCATTTAACGTTGGCATTTACCATTATTTTATGCATAGACAGTCAAATCTGCCACAACTGTTTGGGCCCGAGGAAAACAGCAGCCACTGCTTTTCCTTCACCTTTTCGTCCAAGATTTTTCTCCTCACCTGCCACCGGCCACCTGCTCCCTAAACCGCGTTAACGTTTAATCAGGTTTGTCTATCTTGCAACGCGGGATGTTACACAAATCAAATTTTTCAATGAAAATATCTCAAGACAAGTTTCATTTGCCCTGTCTCACTTTCCCTCTCGGCGAAAGTCTCC